TGGAGCCGTCTTCCCAGCCAATCAGGAAGTTGGGCAGCGTGTAATGACCCGCCGCCCGGCTTCCTTGATAATGGAAGTTCTGGTATCAGGAACATTTGGGCGAGTACTTGCCCAAATACTCTGTATCGGTGCATCCCTGATAAATATATATATATTTACTGTATATATGAAGTCACCCTGCAGTTATTGGGTACACTGGTATTTCCTAGAGGCATACATCTCCATAGTTGTATTATTTGTATAACTGTTCAATGCAATCACCAGAGTTCAATTCAGACACCTCACAATTTTGAAATAGAGTGCAATGGCTGTTAGTTTTGTTACCTCGGAAGTTAGAGTATATTATTCCAGAATGGCCTACTATTAAAGGTGTACGGTCCCTCCTGCATCCCCCACAAACACCATGAAAGTTTCAAAATTGTGATTGAATTGAACTGTGCTCCAGTTATTCTTAAATCAGCAACAGTAGTTGTGCTGCACTTGTCCACCCATCAATAATAAAATGATACCATAGAAAATATTTTTCTGTGGCACTTTGATTTTGCCAGTTTTCATTCAGAATGTCCCACTGTGCTATGTTTATGTACACCATTGTGTTTATAGGTGTTGCTAGCACTTCCAGAGGCTGCACAATCCACCTATGCGGATCTTATCTCAAGCCCTTTGTTAATGCTGGAGCAGTTGCTGATGAATATGAAGATAGACTGGATCTCTACTGTGGTGCAGACTCTGAAGCAGCTTGTGAATGATCCAGACTCGACATTTTCAACTGAAGACATGGACAAATTGCTTTGTATTTACGCAGCGAAAGCTTTGGATGTGCCATTTTCATTCAGAGAAAAACGAATTGGTAAATCTTTGTGTTCATTAAACCATTTGTTAAATACTTGTATTTAGGTCTTTGGCACATTGTACTCTCTATTGGTTTTGGCAGTGAGAGTGTTGTCACCCTAGGACAGGAAGTATGTTAGGAGTTTAATCACCAGGTGCAGTATATTACATTTTTGATCTTGGGTTTATATACACTTTTATTGCATTTATTATTATTGCTGTTGTTGTGTGCATCTTTCAGAATGAGTACAGATTGTGTTCGTTCTGATAGAAGATATAATGTCATCAGTACCTCTGTGGCTTCTAATATAAACCCTGTTTTCATAGCCAGCTACTCCCATCAGTGTCTTGCCTAGGTCAGTTAACTTGGTCTGTGTTTGCAGTGTCAGTTCTGTTAGCAGGAGTTAAGAAGGGTGGGAAACAAATTTAAGGGACATCCGACTGATGCAGCAAAGAAAAACAGAGGACTTTCTTGAACACAGAACTAAGTATCCAGTTCCCACGCAATGGGATATAATGTAGTTTACCAGTCCTTAGATGTAGTGGTTGTATTGGTTTTGATTTTTCAAGGTTAAGAATATTTTTAGCAAATATAGAAAATACCTGTTGCGCGTGCCAATACATGGTATTGGACAGTGTTGTTAGCAGAATGTTGGTCTCACCTGTTTTCGATCTATTCTACCTCATATGCACAGCTCAGTATACATTCCAAATAAGTTTTTGGGAGCAGACAAGTAAAAGGGTTTTATTGCAGAAGAAACATACAATGCAAATTGCAAATTTATTTTAGGAGAGAGAGGTCTGCTTAAAAAAAAAAAAGGGGGGGGGGGGGTTTAGTTTTTTTCCTTGGCGCACA